TTTCGTTGAAACTTTTAATGCCATCTAATGACTATTGAATCTATTTATAGGCAAAATTTCAATTCAAAACGCTTTATTTTAATTTTTTCAGAAATACCTAGCTCTAAATAAAAAGGCTTTGTCTTATCTTAATATAATCTATTGAATGAATCAAAATGGACATGAACACCTCCAGTACTTCCCCTCATTAGTATAGAATCCTATAGTAGACTTTGATTTTCTTTTTTTGTTTTTGTTTTAAATCTAACTAACCGATTACAATAATAAATAGCATTATTAGCATCAATTTGTATAGCTGCATTATATGCTTCAAGAGCTTCTTTATATTTTTCTTGTTTAATAAATTCATTTCCTTGATTTTTAAATCTATCTGCTTGTTGTCTCATATCATCTGTTAATAATTTATTCGTTGACTAGAAAAGAAAAAAGAACATTAATATTCTATTTAAAAAAAAATTTTTTCATTACCGATTTATTAGATACAAGTGACAGAAGATCTATATGTGGACCATAAATTAAATCATTTTGTGAATTAGCAAGAGATACATTAAATGATGCTTCAAGACATTGAACAGCGACTAGAAAATAAATATTGATTGATTTATTTATTTATTTAATCAAATTTTAATATTAAATCTACCTTCAATACTTTCTCGTCTTTCAATATTTTCATATTCAGCTTGTATTTCTCTATCGAGAAATTTTAAAATTGAATAAATTAAACGTTGTTTTGTTAATTGTTCTTGTGCCATATATATTTTTATCTATATTGATAAAAAAAAAGAAAAACTAAAATGTTATAAAAGCAAATGACTCATCAAGAATTCTTATTGGTTTTACTGCCATTCTATTATATTTAATGCCTTTTAGAACAAATAGAATTTCTATTATATGGATATGTATAGAAAGATTATGATCAAGATGAAAAAAAGACAACAACAAAAACATCAAAATTCAAATAAATTAATTAATTCTAATCAATCATCTGAAATCATAACAAAAAAATTTTCAATATTTGTAACAGATTTTCTCACTGATCCATGTGGTTTACCTGCTGAATTAAAAGATTGTATATTAGTCGATGAAACAAATGAAGGTTTGATATTTTTAATTCATTTTCAGACAAAAAGAAATTCTAAATCATTTTTATTTTAGATATTTATTTATCGAATAAAACACAAGTTTTAAAAAAACAATCTTTACAAATTCACTAGTTATTGAAATTAAAATATTTATAAAAGTTTAAATAAATTTGTATATATTGTAAATTTGTATTATCACAGTATGTACAGATAGTTAAATGAATAATATCTTTGTGATGACAAAACAATAAATAACTTGTTTGATATCATTATTTGTGTTTTCTTATGTAAAATAAAAGATAGATTTTGAATTTTGATTATATTATTTATTTACATAGAACAATATGTAAGAAAAGCTATATGAATACACATATGTTTAAATTTATTAAGAAGAATATTAATTAATACGATTCGAATTGAATAAAAATTATTCGATGGTTTAATACTCGAATGTTAGACTGTAGGCTAATGATTATTCATAAAAATTTAAAAGAATATATATGCAATTTATTGTGCTTGAATCATTCACTGAAAATCGGATAGAAAGCTCGCGTTCGATTTTTTTCGGTACCGAGAATAACCGGAATCGGAAACATTGAGCTCTAAATTTTTCAGATATAACACTTTCGTAGGACACCATGGTCGCAGTGGCGGAGAGGACTCAGCTCCTTCACCTCGGTGACGAAAGTTTTGAAAGATGTGCTTTTCTTCTAATACAAAAATGTATTAGTCTTTGCAATGATTATAAACTGTAAAATAAGATACATGTGTTAAAACGTTTCATTGCAAAAGACTAGTACATTTTTCAAAAACCATGCCAAACGGGCTCAACATTTCGTAAGGGAGAGGACGGTGCATGGTCAATTTTTTTCAGATGAAGCAATAAAGTTTTAAATGTACCTATTTTGTTATTCTGTCCAATAGTGGAGGGTGTAGGTGAAGAGAAGAAAGACATTCACATCAGGCCTCGAAATCGAACCACTTTTTTATGGTCCGGCCCAGTCCGAGTCCGAAAGAAACTTTGTTTACAAAGATTTTTTTCTCAATAGACAGCTATTCCATATTTTTTCGGCTTTTATAAAAAGTGAAGACCAAGAGGGGAGTAGCGTGGAGAAACCTTCCCTATCTCCTCTCAGAGGTGAGCCAAATCTCAGAAAAAGTTATATTAGAAAAGGATAAAATCGTCGGGCCTGGCAGCCCGACAGAAAAGGTGATCTGCCCGGCTCGGCCCGCAAAATATTACGTTGGACCGAGCGGCCCATTTCAAGATCTGATTCGCGCTCCGCCCATTGTAAATTTACTAATACAGGAAACAGCGACGAATGAAAAAATATTCACGATTGATAACGAAAGTGTTGAAAGTTCCAGCTGAGAATATATTTTTCTGAAAAAAACCGTGTTGAATGAATAGTTTCTCTATAGTTTTGAGAGATTTTTTTATCTTAACTCTTCCCCATCCTAAGCAGAACCAAACGAAACGTATGTTTCAAATTACCATGGAGTTTATGGTGTGTGTGTGTGTGTGTACATTAGGATGGAATTGTAAAGTTAGATCTGTAGAATAAACAAATATTTATCAGAGATAATCAAATCTTGCGTATCTTCGAGACACACTTTTGAAATCTACAATAACATGAAGGTGTAAGTGTAGATCTTCTCTTTTCTATTATTAAAATTTAACAAACTATAAGACAACAAGCGAATTAGAAAAAATTAATTTGTTATTCTTTTGTTTTTATGCTCTTGAATTGTATAAAAAATATAAAGGCAATTGTACATACCTTCATCTATTATGATGTGTGTCGTACGAGGACAATGTAATATGCATAGACAAGTACTTCAATTGACAGGTAATATATTTATGCTTTACCTTCATTTTGAGTAATAATAAAAAGACTAAACAAAAAAAAAATTCTTTTATGTTTCTCTCAATATATTTCATCAATGCCTCATGTTGCTATCGAAGTTAGATATTTGAGTGTCAAAGTATCATTGGTTTTTTGCTATTACCGACTGGTTTACCTGTGGATTTTCTACTTGGTTCAATTCACTTGGGCAGTCACACCTACATCTTTTTCTTGAATGTAACAGAAACTAATCAATTCTTTATAACTAAAATTCAACATTCATAATTTTTTCTCATACACAAGCGTCATCTATCAAGATGATAATTACTTCCAAATGAAAGACAAAGCTTAAGAAATAAAAATTAAAATATTTCTAGATAGTTTTTCAAATATTTTGATTTCTAACGAATTTTTTTTGTTCTGTGAATTATCTATGAATCAATAATCTATTAGTTAGTTCTTTTAGTGACACTGATGCCGTAAACTTGACAACATGATGTAGGTAAAAATTGGAAGAAAGAGAAATACTTTTTTTTTTCTTTTGAAACAACACGACCTCAATGGCATTGGAAGTTGATTTTTCATGGCGTATAACTTCTATAAAATTCTCGAAATAGATTATTTTCTATTATTATTATTATTATTTCAAATCAAAAATTCGTATACAGTAAGAAATTATAATTCGAAAATATGATCATTTTCTTTTTTTGATTACTCAATACGACCTTCAAATACATTTATATAACAGCTCCTTTTATAATAAAAAAAAAAAAAGAAAAAACGACTTTCGCTTTCTTGAAAATATGCATTTGCAAAATATTCGTTTTTGATTTTGTATAAAGAATAAAAATAAACATCAGATGTAATATGAAACTTTTTCTTCCCATATTATTCTTATACCTTCGGTTTTCTTTTTTCTGTTCTTGTCGAGCGCATGTGCAGTATTTTATACACACAGGTATTTATCATACGGAGTTGATGTCTTATAACGACTGAATATGAGTCTAGTCTCCTTCCGTACATTTTTTTTCTTTCTTTTATGACTGTTCTCGGTTTTTTTTTCTTTGGACTATATATTCGAACAGCGTTCTGCATGAATGAATGAGTTATACCGTCAGTAAAAAAAAAATGAACAAATAACTTTATTTCAAAATATAAAATATATCAATAATAAATTGTTTTTTTTCATTTCGTATATTTATATATCATTCATTGTATATTATTATTTATTTATTTATCTATAAATAGAATTCTTCTTATTATTTTATCAATATCTTCTTTTCGGTTGTTTAAAGAATTACATCATACATCTGGTCGCTTGTTCTTATATAATGAATAAAAAAAAAAGTGTTCTTTTAGATAAGCAATAAAATGCTACATCGACGAATATTTTTTCTCTACTTATTTATCTTATTTTCCGGCATTTTTGCTCAGAAAAATGATCATCTTGAACATGATGATGAAGATGAACCTCGATCAATAAATCGAATACAACCATCAATTAATAGTGAAAATAAACTTTCTGCATACAATAGAGGTAATAATAATGACAATCAACAACCAATTGTTGATCAATCACGAGTACGTCCACCACTTGAAACAAATCGGCGATCATCATCATCGACACCACTTGCTAGTAGTAATGAGTGTAAATTTGATGTGCAAAAATATTGTAATAGAGGAAGTCAACAATTACTTTCAAATTTAAAAGTATTACAATGCGTTGATGATCTTGATAATGTAAGTTTTGTTGGTTTTTTTCTGTATAGAAATAAATTACATATAAATATATATTTTATTAATATAGGCTGTGAATTTAATTAGTAAAGAATGTCAACATGTAAGTTGGATATTTCGTTTTTTCTTTGTATTAATTAATTTTATTTTTAGCTTATCTATAAATTTAAATATAATATGACACTTGATCCACGTTTTGATGATGCAGCTGAAAGACAATGTTCAAAAGATTTAAAAGTATTTGATGAATGTAAAGGACATATTGGTAAAAGTGGTACTGGTCGTCTTGTAACATGTTTATATGATTTTTTACCTAATATAACTGAGTCATCTTGTCGTTATTTTATTAAACAAATGCAAGCTGTTATTTTCAATGATTGGCGCTTAATAGAACATTTTGCTGATGCATGTATGAACGATATTAAAAGTTTAGAATGTGGTCGATTAGATGATGAAAATGAAGCTGTATGTATTTAATGAAAATTTTAAAAAAAAAAAAAAATTTTTTTTTCTTTTTGTATCTTTTAGATACCACATGAACAAGGTGCTGTTATTTCATGTTTATCACAAAAATATAATAAATTAGGTCAACAATGTCGAAAAGAAATTTTTCGCTTAGCTGAAATGCAATCGGATGATTATCATCTTGATCGTGCTTTATATTATGCATGTCGTGATGATCGAGAACGTTTATGTGCACAAGTTTCAAGTGGTAATGGCCGAGTTTATCGTTGTCTTTATGATCAAAAATTTAATAGTATGATGTCACCAGCTGTAAGTTATTAAGATTAAAATAAAATCCCTTAATCTATAAATTTTAATAGTAGACAGATAACGTAGTCGTTTAGGTTGTCTTACTTTAATAACCTATGTGATGTAAACAACATATGTTCTATCATTCACCAGTTGAACGAGCAAAAAAACATGATGTTATGATAAATAATCATGGGACATTGCAGTACTCGTGCATATTTAAACGAAAAAAAAAACGTAACATTAGATGACAGTAAGAGACCTTGGTGTAATAAGTTGGTGATATTAAACTATGTCAATATGTGTTGAGTTACTTGTGATTAAAAGAAACTTGTTGGAAAGAAAAACAAAATGTTACGTTGCGATTGCAACTACAAACCTTCTAATAATGAGCAATTTTAGTCAATCCTGATGGTGTCCAAATTAGAGAGGCTTTAGCTAGACTTTATCTTCCGAAAGACCGAAAACTTATTTTTAGGAGCGTAGAAACATAATATGTGATACAGTAACTGCAATATTCGAAGGAGCGGCCACCTCCTACGCTGAATAAAATCTCGCTTCACAATAGAAGACCTCGGATCTTCTATTATGTCTCAATAGTTTTCATAATTTTTAATTAAATTGGTTTTCGAAAGAAGTAAAACTGGTTTCAGGATATGGGAAGAGAATTTTAAGAATCTATGAATAATGCGGATCTCAGTCGTTTTAGTTCAATATCCTGAAAACTAGGCATATTTTAATGTAAATACCCCAAGGGGAGAGGATTCTATTGCAAGGACAGGTTTACTTTTAAATGATATGTATCTCAGTTCAGTGATACAACCACTATTTTGTGGATCTCTAATCTCATTAAGAGTTTCACTGCTTAAATAATTTAATGGACTACGTTTTAGAAAACAAAAAAAAAGAGTTAACATTTTCGATTATGTTTATTACTTTTAAGTAAATATTTGAAAGTAGAATCGAGTTATATTCATAGAAAATGCGAATATAAGTTTCATAATGATTTTTGATCCCAGAACGAGATCTGTATAGGTTAGAGCAGAGGAAGACCACCCCTATCTAATAGTTTATGTATTATCAAGTTTTATTGCGTACCACTAAGATTTTAATAGAAAACGTCACTTCCATCGCATGCGATAAAAGTCATGATGAACGTGGTACCTAGAGCCCTTTTGGACCCGAACCTGACGAGCTCTCGTGGTGCTCTCTGTCGAAATATCAAGAGTTAAAACCATATAATTGTCTTTATTTGATGCAGATGTAAAGCTAATAAGAAATGTTCTATATCTGACCATGAATACGGAATTTTTTCGCTCATTCAAGATAACATCAAGCTTTTTTTTTATTTTTACTTGAATAAATAATTACGATTGTTTATTTTAGTGTCGTAAAGAAGTTCATCGACGACAATCATTAGTAGTTGCAGATGTAAAACTGGATGTACCATTAACTCGAGGTAAAAAAAACAATCTAATGTTTTGAATTAAAAAACAAAACATAACTATTATCGTTTTTTTAAAAAGAACATGGATGGATAGAATGCTTATCACTTTTTAAAGAAAACAGCTGGAGAGCTGCGATTTTTGAGCATTCGAAAGAGAGCAATGGGGAACACAGATCCATGTAAAAATGAAAAATTTTTCTCAGTACTTTCCAGGCTAATCCTAGCGAAGCAAAATTGAGAAAATAGGCAGTTTACCCAAAAAAAACTTTTTTTTAGTTTTTGTTTTTGACAGCCTAGGCCTATAAACAGTTTTCTTTATCTAACAACGCAAAAAGCAAGTCTCTATCGCTTTCCATTCTCGAGATAGAGACATTTTTCCAGAAGCTATCGAACAGAAATAATTCTCTGTAGGAAAAAGAAAAAGATGTTGATTGATAGGTTTTTGAACATGCTGATCATCGAGGCGATGTTTATTTTATGTTGAAACAACTTTACCTAACCAAAAATCAGTTGTTCCTTTTTTGCTAGCTGAACAGTCTTCATTTGTGACTGTCACATCTTGTGATTCCATTAAGAAAGAAAACGGAATATGAATATATTCAGTTTTTTTAATACATTGAATGTGGGTGTATAGTTTGGGTATTGCAGTCAATCAAACATATCCATACCCACACACCCTCAACATCGTTATTTTCATCTCATACAAAAAGTTGAAAAGATATTTCAAAATGCCGATGAATACGCAGAGCGAGTAATTGAGCTAGAATTAAAAGATGAAAGTATCAAATCAGATACCACAGACGAAGAAGAATGGCAGTGTTTTCTAACAGGTTAGTTTTGCATTTTTCTGAAAAGTTATTTTTTATAAATAAATAAAAGATTACAAGCTCTTTTCAAGTAATTTGTCAGGACAGAGCGTCATAAAAGTGAAGAGGTGTTTTAAGTGCTGAATTCTAACTTTTTACTGTTTCGAAACATTTACATTAAAACCGTCATTGGACAGTGTCATCAAAGTTTGGGTTAGATAAAGTTGTTTAAACATAAAATAAACATCGCCTCGATGATCAGCATGTTTAAAAACTTATGAATCAACATCTTTTTCTTTTTCCTACAGAGAATTTTTCCTGTTCGATAGCTTCTGGAAAAATGTCTCTATCTCGAGAATGAAAAGCGATAGAGACTTGCTTTTTGCGTTGTTAGATAAAGAAGACTGTTTATAGGCCTAGACTGTCAAAAAAAAAACTAAAAAAAAGTGTTTTTTGAGTAAACTGCCTGTTTTCTCAACTTTGCTTCGCTAGGGTTAGCCTGGAAAGTACAGAGAAAAATTTTTCATTTTTACATGGATCTGTGTCCCCCATTGTTCTCTTTCGAATGCTCAAAAATCGCAGCTCTCCAGCTGTTTCCTTTCAAAAGTTATAAGCATTCTATCCATCCATGTTCTTTTTAAAAGACAGTAATAATCAACATTTTTATTTAATTGTCTTTTTTTTAGCATGTCGTAATGAAATGCTTGAACATAAATGCATTATTGATCCTGTAGAAGGTGATCAAAAATCATCATTAGTTAAATTACTTTTATGTCTTGAAGATACATTAAAACGAGGTAGAAATTCAACGATGAATTTCTTACAAAAAAAACCTATTTCTAATTCTAATCTTAGGTTATCATATACAAGATGAATGTAGACGTGAAATGCTTGTTCATCGTCGTATGTTAATGTCTGATTATGAACTTTCACCCGAACTTCAATCTGAATGTAAAATGGAAATGGTACAATATTGTCCATCGTTATTTCAACAAGGAGTTAGTGGTACAATAGATCAACGTGGTGGTCGAATGATTCATTGTTTATTAGCTGCTGCACGAAAAGAAAAAGCTTTTGGTAAGCGATGTTTATCGGTTGTTAATTCATTAGTACGTGCAGTTGATCCCGGTAGTGATATACGAGCAGATCCATTACTTGAAACAGCATGTCGACCTGTTATTGATACATTATGTCCAAGAATGAAATCTGGTGATTCAAATGTAATTTTATGTTTATTGGATAATTTAAAAAATTCTCGTATGACAGAAGATTGTGAAGATCGTCTTATGGAAGTAGCTTTTTTTTTGGCACGAGATTGGAGGTAATAAAGATTTTTAAAAAAATCAAACAAACACCAACATTAATTTGTAATTTTTATTTTATATGTTTAGATTAACACCAAGATTATTACGTACATGCCGAAATAATCTTGAAAGTTTTTGTCAATTACCAAAAGATTGGTCAATGAATCAAGACATAAGTGGTCTTCAAGTTGGAATGTATTTAGGTTGTTTATATCAACAACGACAACAAGTATTAAAAACAAAAAAAAAAACAAAAAAATTTTTAATTATATTTACATCTTTTATTATTTAGCTTGATAAAGAATGTCGAAGTGAATTAAAACGTATTATGCATATTCGAACACAATCTATTGGTTTAATGCCTGAAATTGAAGATAATTGTTTGACAGATTTAGCAACTTGTAAAAATCCAGAAATTAAAGGAGAAGTAAGAAAATATTTCAATCAAAATATAAAGATATACAGTAAAACTTCTCTAATGTAAACAGTTTAAGTTCAGTTTAACAAAGCGATCATATTAGAGAGAGAGTCAAGCAAAAATATAAGTTTTATTTTTGTCTGTGTCCCTTAAAATACTTAATATTTTATTGAATAGTTTTAACCATCATCATTAATGATTTGACTAAGATCATCTTTCAAATTCTACTTCAATTTTAAAACTTACTTAAAAGGACTCAACGGTGTTTATTAATAGAGGTTTTACTGTACTCTTCTCTTCCATAATAATCTTTCAACACATCGTCACTTTAACCACATTTTCACACTGATTGGTGTAATTTAAATAAAGAGCACGGTGTGATGATGAGGGTGCTGTTATTAAATTAGAGATGTAGCATTTTATCTTCTACGGAGAACCGATTTAAAATTTCAGGAAGGTGAACATCTATTTTTTGGAGTACAGCCATATAGTATGTGTCGAACTACTGATAACCAGCTCGCATCTATATAAGTTGTACAAAGCGTGCTATTTACTTTTGCATAACAGATTTTTATAAACTTTTGTATTTTTACAAGTAGTTTTTGAAATAGCGATTCTTTTGACCAAAGGCAATTTCCATAGAAACTAATTCTTTAGTAGAAATGCATAGATGAAATTTCGCTTATTGTATAGAATTCAATGCTCAAAAATAATATTGAGTTAAAGCTGTTTCAAGACGATAGAACCTAAACTGCTATTTTGCTTTGTACAAACACAATTTTGGACTTTTTCATGAAATTTACTGATAGTTATTCAATCTTGCCCGAGAAAGAAAATCTAAACATATATTCGGAAATAGCGAAAAATTCTGATTCTCTGGCTTTAACGAGTTGTCTTCTAGTTACCAAATATGTCGCGCCAAAAATTTAGATTATGAAAGATCTTTGCATCAGAGATGTCCACAGCGGTGTCAGCGGCATTTGTTTTAGAAATCATCGCAGCATGGGAGATATTACAAGAATACCAGCACGGCAGCGACAGCTTCTTTTTTTTATTGAAATTGTAAAATTGGATGGATCTGCACTCAATTTGAGTGTCTAATAGTCAGAATCGAGATTGAGTCCGATGAATTCAATACAACTGTGCTATTTTGGCACAGTGACAGAAGAGATTTTCGTAGAGTTTCTCGAAAATCATCATAGTAGCGGCAATTCTTATACAGTTTACCGCATCACAGTAATGGCGCTAAGCCCTGCCCGTTCTAGCATGGCGTCGCAGCAGCGGCAAATTTCTAGCCATGATATACATCTCTACTTTGCACACATTCTTCTAATATGTTCAAAATAGGATTTCTGCAAGAATCTCTTCGTCATCAATATGATAATACCATAGAATCATTCATTCAAAAATGGTATCGTCAGTGATAGATCTTGAATAACGATATGTTCTCGTATGCTTTAAATCTTATTGCACGACATTGAAATCTTATAATTTCGAAGAAAAAAAAAATATTTTGTATCATTAAAATTTTCTTTTTAGGAATTCAAATGTTTACAAAAGAAATATAATAAACTTGAAGAACAATGTAAAGCTGCTGTTCGAAATTTTACACAAATGACAATGTCTGATCCAACACTTGATTTTCTTCTTATGAAAGCATGTGAACCAATGATACAATTATTTTGTGGAGTAAATAAAAATGAAAAAAATTCTCGTCATTTCTATATGCATGCATATAAATAAAATTCTTTTATAGAATGTTGAAGGTGGAAATGAAAATTATCTAATACGTTGTTTAATTAAACATAAAAATGAACAACAAATGGATTTTCGTTGTAAAGCTGGTATTGATCATCATCAAATAGTATGTAAAAGAAAAAAAAATCAAAAGAATGAATAATTTATTTCTTTAATGAATAGACAAGTATGAAAGATGAAGCATTTTTAAGTCAACAATTTCGAAAAAAATGTATTCAAGAAATAAATGAACATTGTCTAGGAAGAAAAACAAAGTAAAAAAATGATTATTTTTTTGTTTCAAATTTAAAAATAAATAATTTATTTTGTTTATTTTTATTCGTATTCTAGAGCAGGTGTTATTCAATGTCTTGCTGATTTAATGTTACGTGATGTATTAAAAAAAGAAAATCAAATAACTGAAGTTTGTCGTGATGAACTTAAATTTGAACTTCTTCAACGAGTTTGTTTTCGATTTATGATGAATAAAACAAAAAGAAAAAAAAAACTGAAATTTATTTAGAGTGAAAGTATCGATTTTGATCCATCATTAGCTAAAACATGTCGACAAGATATTCAACGATTCTGCTCTGCACGTACTCCGGGAAATGCTCAAGTAATTTGTTTTTCTAAAATCAAATTTTATATTTTATTTTATGTGAAAATCTATTAGATTCTTGATTGTCTAAAAGATAATCAAAATAAAGTATCAACAGCATGTTATGCTAAATTAAGAAAACGTGAAAAACTTGATGTTATTTTACCTGAAAATGATTATAGTCTTATGTCAAAATGTGCAATTATTATTCAGGTATGTATTATTTAAAGAGAATTAAGAAAAAAAAAATTATTTTTTATTATAAAAATTTCAAATAGAAATTTTGTTCAAATGACAAGAAACAAAATATTTTATCATGTTTACGACGTAATATTAATCAAGATGCTATGCCAAATCTGTGTCGACGAGTTTTATATCATCGTTTAATGGTTCTTAATAGTGGTAAGATATAAAATAAGCAACTTATATTGCAAATATCAGATTTATTTTTGGCAATTAATCGTTCACAATAATCGATAAATTGCATATAGATCTTGTATTACATACGAAGAGTATTATTTTTGTCGTTTTTCATAGATTGAAAAAAATATTTTATAGCTTAGTTCAGCATATCGATTATATTTATACTCATTCAATAGCGAATGGTAATAATAAGTTAGTAGTCAAGATGATATATACATCTGTCATAGCTCTCGTATTCGATACCTAGATGTTCGATTCTGAGCCCTTATTCTATATCCTTTACCATCTGTTGAGTATCATCTGCACTGCAATGATATCTGTATTTAGTCTCTTCTAATGCACATTTATCACGCATTTAAGCAATAAACTTCTTTTAGCTGTAAGTAGTGCTATGAGGAACAGTTCCGACTGTCTTGAACTTTCATGAAGTTTGTTGAGGTTCGCCAGCTTCCTCTTTGTGCAGTGTTATAGCGAATTTCTACATACATGCTCTCGAATTTCTGCAACATCTATACGTTGATATAAGACAGAAATTAAACAAAAAAATATGCCGTCAATTCGATAGCAGAAATTAAATGAATTTGCGAGAAGCAATATTTAAGTCTATCCGGAACATATCGTGTCTTTCTTGATTGCTCTAAGCGTACTTACCTACTTGTGACACAAATTTCAAAAGTTGAACGTACACCAACCGTATACGGAGCAGATAAAGTTAAATTGTAATCACTCCGTAGTTTTTGTAGACATTAATGAGTTATGAATATCCTGAAATAAGTTCGAGCTCTTTACTTATTAGTACAGAGATAATGTATTTTTTTTAAGTCAATGCCGTGGATCTATTTTACGGGCATCAGAAAAATTGATTTTCGAATTTCAGAAAATTGCAGAACTTCTCACTGTTCCTATCGTAAGGCATGTTTTTAACATTAATCACACACACTGGCACATTCAATATTTTTATTTCAGAATAAGAGCAAAGAACTTTTCCATACAACTTATTCTCCTTAAGGTTTATGCCTGTGCAAAGTTTTAAGTCGAAATTTAATTTTTCTGAGGTAGGCCGACAGTATTGATTTTAAAAAACATATTATCATCGTACTAATAACCAAAGAGCTTGACTCAAAAGCAATTGATCAGTTGGAAAACTTCCTTCTTTAGATACAAAGATTGAATTAATGTTACTAGTAGATGTTATATGAATAATCAATATTATTTGTAGACATGTTCATCTAACAGGTAGAAAGTTGAAATTTCTTTCTATGAAATAGAACACTTTGAATTTTGTAATTGACAAAATCATTTGAAACTTTTAATTAGCGAAGTTTCTATTATAAAGATTTAGAAGAAAAACAACGGATGTACTGAGTCATTAATTCGAATATAGGGACTTTATCAAATTATTATAAATTATGCAGACAATGGATAAAATAAATGTCTAAAACCCGAGATCGAAATTATGATAGAAAAAAAACTGTTAGCACAATCGTTATGAGATTAAAATGTGAAATACAATGTAGCTGCTGTTACTAATCATAGGAAGATTATTTTGAGACATATTTCTTCAACATTCTCTCCAGAAATGCAATATCTATCACAGTCAGCGAGGAAACGTTGTGCAAACTTCTATCCTATATAGTTCAACACTCTTTTTAGGTTAGTGCCCGGCATGAGTACTACTTTTCGCAGTCGGACCTAATCGAAATCCGGCAGATACTTTCACAGTCACAATGCAGTTTTCAAACTTTTATTTTCTATGAACTGTTTAGTTTATTCCATAGACAGCAACAAAAAAGAACAGATCATCTTAAATTTCACAAAAAGAAAGCAAATAATTCAGGATTCATTTCGTTTTTTTCTACTTCTAAAAATTCGAGCAGTTTCACTAGATATACGTTTGCTTATTGTTGATGACACTGGAATCGAACGCAGTGTTGGTACTAAAAGTCATAATTATGGATACATACATGTTTTTCTCGTTTGATAACTCATTTTTGTCTCCATGTATTCAATTATATCGATCGAACCAGTTTTCACTCTTAAGTAGCAGTTTGAAAAAAGTTTAAATATTTTGAAACATGGAAATCGCATTAATTGCCTGATCGGATTCAAGTATGATCTCATACTCGGACTCGAACCGACTCACTGAATTAGCACACCAGTATTTATGCTTCGGATCGGGTCGGATTACAAGATACTATTCTAAATAATCTTCATATGACATAATTCTATCAGTAGTCAGTATAGACAGAAAAAACAAATAAAGAAAATAAGAATATTATTACTTTTTCTGTTGTTTATATTAATACATTTAAATGAAATTCCTCAATCAAAAAGTTTGATAACACTTTAAAATTTTCTTTTTTTTTCTAAATTTAGATGCTCGTTTTAATCAAGGTTTAATTGATAATTGTCAACGAGATATTAATAAATATTGTCAATCAGAAGTAGTTAATAATGATGATGATGATGATAAAGATTCCAATGAAGATGATGCTGACGTCAATGGTAAATTCATTTTTTTCTAATTATTATTTTAATTGAATTAATCATTCTTTTAGATAATGATACCGAAATAAATGATCGTAAAGATAATGTTAATAATAATAAAAATAATAATGATGATAATGATGATGATGAAGTAACTGATCGTAAAATGGGTGGTCGAATTATACAATGTTTACGTTCAAAATATAGTGATACATCGATTACATTAGAATCTCAATGTGTATCAGAATTAGTTGATGTTATACAAACATCAAAACTTGATGTTAAACTTGATGTTAAATTATATCAAAGTTGTCGAAAATTCCTTAAAAGTGAATGTACTGGTATGGATCAAGAAGATTGTTTAAAATTACTTTATCAAAAAAATAGAATTGATGATGATACTTGTAAAGAACAAATTAAACGTATTGTAAGAGAAGGACAAGCTGATATACATGTTGATCGTGCTTTAGCATTTGCATGTCAAGCTGATGTTTTGAAATATTGTAATGATATTCCTATAGGTAAGAAAATAAAAATTAAGATTAATAATACAAAAAAAAAATTAATGATTTATTAGGAAGTGGAAAACAATTAAAATGTTTATTAAGTATGGGTAAATCAGTAACAAGTCAATGTCAAGCTATCTTACAAAAACGACAAGAATTATGGGAATCTGTAAGTTTTTCTTTGATAGATTTAAATAGAAAATTTTCATAATTAGACAAATAAGAAGAGAAAATCATGTGTTAATCAATTGAGAATTCAAACAAGAATATTGAGGGTGTGGATGTGATGAAGATATACACGCACACCCCACCCCAAAATTACAACTTGTATCAAAAGACGAAGACTTAAAGAAACACGTCAACATTTTTTTTTTAAAATTTAATTTCGACTTTCAAAAGAAGAATTTTCTATCTATTTTACTGAAAAACAGAATAATAGTGAAGCAATAGTGTTCACAAACAAAAAAAAGAAGAATTACATTGTGAATTTTCTCTAGAGCCCATCACGTCTAAAACTTTCGAATCCGGTTGACAGAAAAATTTTAGACTCAGGTTCTAGTTTACTCACTTTATTGAAAACATTTCTTAGACATATAAACTTAGCCAATGAAGCCGAAGAAAACATTCAGCAGATTTTAGTTAATCTAATTCGAGTTTCATTGTACAGTTGTTCTTCATTTGTAACAGAAGAGTACTACTGCAAGCCATTGGCAATATACCACCCAACACATTTCAATTTTTCCTCAAGAACATTTTCCAAGTCTACTACACATATCTCAGATGACCAGAGCCCACCAAGTCCAAAATTTTTGAACTCAGATCTAAATCTAGGATAGGTTTTAGTTTACCAAAGCTTCGCGGCTCCCCTCCCTATGTGCGTAGTACCAAGCAGGGCTATCAATAGTTGGTAGACGTTGGAGAGACTAAAAATTCAACAGAAAACGCTTTCAGTCTCAGAATGATGATCGGGAGAAGATGAACAAAACCTACCGTGACCCGCGGTTCCTTGTCCAATCCTATTGAATAGTTTGTATGAATAGATCATTTGAATATTAAATTCTATTCATATTCTTATTGAAAATATCATATTTTAGGTATCTAATGTGCAAGGTGTTGCTGACTTAACAGAACATATTCGAAAATCCAATAATAGTTTTTATCTATTCTCTGTTATTCTTTTAATATTATGTATTATGTTTATGGCTGGCTGTATTTGTCGTCCGTATGTACGTTATAGTCGTGTCAGAAAATATAAATGAAGAAAAAAAGAACAAAATTAATTCATAAGTGACAATTTAAAACTACATAAACTATTTTAAAAAAAGCTTTTTATTCATTTTCAACTTCAATGAATCTCTTTCTTCTTTTTTTTTGTCTCTTCTACATTCCAAAATATTGTAACAACGAAGAAGTAATGCTTATAAGAATAAATCAAATTTATTTCAATAAAATTTCATCGCTTAATAAATTTCATATTTAGTTTTTCTTTTTCGTTCGAATTAGTTCTTCTTCGCTGTGATAATATTTCTTTTTCTTTTTCTTTTTCTTTTTCTTTTTTTGATCATTCTTAGAATCAATTTCTATTTATATGTTTTGTGTCCGTTTGTGTTCTACCAACATTTATTAAAATAATTCTATGTCAAGAAATAAATAAAAACAACATGATTTACAATAAACTTTGCATTTCTTTTTGATCATCTTCATCATCTAAAGTAATTTCATCAAGTCGATTATTATTGACCGTATTAATTTTTGTTAGAAAAAATGATGTTTTTGATGACAATTCTAATGAAAGACGAAAAAAAAAACAGATTCAAACAAAATAATTGAATATTTTACCTGTTAGTTCATCATCGGAATCACCATCATGATCACTTTCACCACCTGTTACATTGCTACTATCGCATTGATCTTCATCTTCTAAACAACCACATGAATCAGCTTGACTATCAGCACAATATATAACTTCATCTTGACTTTGAGGACCTATTCAATGAATCGGAAAAAAAAATAAATTGAGATACATTTATTAGAAGAAAAAAAATTTTTTTGGACTCACCTTCTTCATCTGTAAACATATAATGATCTTCTATATGTTCTCTTGGATTTTGAAAACATTGATTATGTTCTTGTTGAGGTATTACAATAGGTCGAAGTGTTTCGCGAATACCAATTGGTATATCTTGACTTCGAATGATATCGCAAACTATATATATATATACATATAGAATATTTAAATGAATAAGATTATATTTTTCTGTTCTTAATCAATAACATACCAACAGTATCACAGAGACCAATACGTTCTAATTGACGATAAACAAGTAAATGACTATTATTTAATGCAAACCATTGATTATTATGTGCACATATTTGTAATTTTGGCGGAGACATACTTTCCATTAATTTTGTTGATACATCAATCATTAATTTTTCATCAATAGTTGAATGTTTTAAATCACCTAAACTTGAATCAGTAAAATTAATACTTGATGGTGCAAGTGATAATGTACGAGAATGACAAGAATCTGCTGAAGATTTCCAAAGTGTTTTCCATGATGAAAAATAATTTTTTACGTTTTGCATTTATTAATATAAACAATCTGAAATAGTACTAAGAATCTTTGCTTATATTCTGTCTATGATTGTGTAATATTCTTATATATATATATATATATATGTATAAACCAATCTAAATCGTAAATAGTGTTACTATAATGTCAGTTATCAGTATGATTCTATTGTTAAATTGAGTGTGAAATTAGCGATTCAACGAGTGTAGAGTAAGATATTACTCGTAATTGGTAATGATGAAATCGATGTTATATATATTTTTCTGTAGATTTGTCTTCTCCAATCATTACTTGCATATATATATATATATATATTGTCTTCTATTCCTAATGGTCTTATTTATTAAGAGGACAAATAAACTTACGAAATACACACTGTTGTCTATCAGAGTTTTTACTCAAAACTCTATAATTAAATGAGTTGTATTGATAATTTTACTTGCCTATCGAATATATGTATGTCATATAAGTATAAGAAACTCTATTTCACTCTCATCATTGTCACTATCACTATTATAGTACGTCGACAATACACAAGAGACAATGCTTAGAACAAGCAGCATTCTTCTTTCTTTTTTTTCTCTCTCTCTATTTTTTTCTTCGCTCTATACCAATTGAATATAAATATTTGGGAGCTCGGCAGACTAAGACATGATAATGATGATTATATTTTGTTAGAAACTCGAATAATCTGATAATAAATGCCTATACTAGACCTAGATTCCTGTTTTAGATCACGCAATTGTATGTATATATACAAATATATACATATATATATATATGTATGATTGAAGATATTGACAAATGAGGGATACTTGTGACAGATGTACAACTGATGTCAACGTGTTGAGAATAATTGCATCATGGTGTGTCTAGAAACTATTTGTCCTTATTTTACATAGTGATCGATTGATGATAATAATAGAAATCTTTCATTGTAACATACTGTTATACAGATTTGTCTAATGAATAGCAATTAATTTTAGTATATGAATGACATTATAATGATCACAGATTTTTCAAATGACATATTGATAATAATATTTTATAACAAAAATATTGTTAAAAATCGACCAATTTTATTCATATACTAAATAAATATTTGTCGCGAATGTACTTTTACAAATAGACCCTTTTCTAATAATTTGGCGTTTATATTTGATCAATGTCGAAAAGTGTTAAGTCATATATTCTAATATTCGATGCACTATGTGAGCTCATAATTAAATTTGTTTTTGCTTTGAACAGTTCATCTGCATTTTCTTTTCGCTTATTGTTATTCCTCAAGGAAGTTAATGATGAAAGAAGAAAAAAAAATGATAAATAGATATTATTAATTGGATTTGTAATAGACAGAATATCAAAAAAAAAAAAAAATGATAGAGATTTCTTTTTTGTCCTTAGATAGAGAATTACGATACATGTGAAGCGGCAATGATTATGTGCATGGACGACTATATAAGACTTTTTTTTTTGTTGAATGAAAAAATTAATAATGTAATTCAATAAGACTCTTTTTTTTTCTGTGTGGACAAGCACTTACATCTAAAATGACATTAGAAGATTATGAGTACAGAGGACAATGTATGACTAGTTTATATGAAGATAGATTCTAGTCTTACTGATTTTCAAATGTACTAAGATTTGAATGAGTTTCTATTTATTTTTTAATACATTAGTGTTGTCTCTTTAAATATATATGAGTGAATTGCAACTTTTTAGTACAATCAATGAGAAAAAATGAAAGTAAACCTAAACAACTTTTGAGTAGTATATTTTATTATATTCTATGCCTATGTTAAAGGGCCAAAATTTCTCAACACTTCACTGATTATTAAGAGAAATACATGTTATACAGTTTTATTTCTGCTGAATTCAATAATAGAATTGACTTTACTAATTGAAAAGTTCAAGTCATTTTTCAGCTTTGTATGAAAGATAAGAAGTCAGAAAAAGACCACAATATACTTGAATTTGCTTGCTGTATTTTATTCATTTAAATTATACTTAAAAAGAATATTTTTGGTTGAGTTGAACTGAAAATATCTGCAGAAAAATCGTTACTCTACATTTTATAGTATAATGTAAATTTCTCTTGAAGGAAAGAAGATTTAGGGCTGAAATTTTTAACAGTTATAGAACTCTTTGTTTTACATCTACTATGAAAATTTCAGCCAAATCGAATGATTTATTAAAGAGTTAGAAAACAACCAAATTTCAAATCGTCACTCTAAAAAGTGAGTATAACGGCCTTTTTTTTTTAGAAAGTCTTGTTATTTTTATCCAGAAACAAAGCTGATAACACAGTGTTTTTTCTCATCAATTTGTTACTTAAAGAGTTGTCTTTATTTTCGTATAGTCTGCGCACCACCTGCTCTATCACTGGCAGAGCTATAAGCAAGTTTCCGTTATTCTACACAAAAATATAAAGTGTCTGTCAAACAATGTGAACGTTGAACGAAGGAGAGAACAAAAATACAATATTTAGACAGATGATATATTTTGACAGAGCATCGAACGCTGTACAAAACAGCCTAATTACATACTTTTCCTCTTACTTTTCTATAGCCGAAAAATTCCTTTTTCTTTTCACATGTCAGCAAAATCCAATGTTTTTTTTACCATATATCTCTCATAACTCAGCGATGGTATGAGCTACAGAGTTGAAATTTTGTATAGCAGTAGGACATACAAAGAGGGATAACATATAAAAAAAAATTGTCAAAGTCGGTTGAGAGAAACAGAAGTTATTAGCCAAATACAGCTAAAATATCAATGTTACCAAAAAATTGCAATTCACTCATATGTATTTGAATAAATAATACTAAACCTTACTGGTAATACTATAGCCTGGGGATTAGAGTTTTATTAACTTCAAGAAGAATACTTTTCTTGGTCACGATAAATAAATATTGACTGTAATTATTACCGTAAAGGATGATTCAGAAAAACATGACTCGTTTTTTTTTTATGATAAATATTCTCGTAGAACTATCTTTATAGAAAAACAAAAGTATAGTAAAATACACCCTTCAAAATGCCTATAAATTGATACTTTCTCAAGCACATATAATAAAAAAGTTATCAATCCTATCATATTAAAAAAAAAATTTAATTGTTAATAATTTAATCATTAAATATGACTGAAGCAATCAAAATGCATTAAGAATATATTTCAGATTTGACATTGAATCCAATAACTTGATACAAACCGATATTGTACATAAAAATTTAAACTTTAAAAAATCTTGTTATTAAAATTTCTTCTCTTTCATGTCAAGACTCATTAGAATAGAAAATTAATGAAAGATCAATAAACATGTTGTAGACAAAGAACTATCAGAATAGAACGTTTTATGAAATTAGTTAGAAAATTAATACGTTTAAAAAGGATGTTCGAGTCAAATAAAAGTACTCTTTCAACTGCAATGTTTATTATTCACCTAGGATTCTTTTCATTCATAGACCGAATGAATGCATAACATCGCTTATATCAAGTTACCGTATTCGATATCCAATTGATCATACAATAATTTCAAAATGGATTCTTAATACGTTTTGAATTTATTTTTAAATATAATACAACTAATAATCTTCTTATAATATGAACTAGAAGGATCAATTTAGAAGTATTTTGAAATGAGCGTGTTATTGTACTTTGTTTCTCTATGAAGCAGAGTTTGGCT